TGGCAGATACTTTGTAAACAACTTAATTTTCATTTACTTACAATATATCACTTGTTATAATAAATATCATATCACTTGCTGTAACAATAGATATCCTTTCCCAAATCATGTTTTAAAGACATCCTGTTTCAGTTGTTTAAAATTAAAAATACTCGTGTGCTTGTTCAATTTTTGTTCTTACACTTTCAACTTTGTCCTTCATATTTGGCATTTTGATTTATTAGGCAATCTTAGCATTAAAGACTTTTAGCAAAGCAGTACTAGATTTCAAATGCACTGTGCATGGTGTCCATGATGAATTAATTCCACTAGAGCACAGAAGTTATCATTATTTAAATGCTAGTTTCTTTCAAAAGTTTTGTAATTCAGTCAGGTTTTCAAAATCAGAATTTAGCTGACATTTTGAGGTAAATGTATGTGGTCTCTTGTTGCATATGTAGGTTTTCCTCATACTGAACGCTTTCTTGTGTGAATTTACATAGGAATATTTAAGAATATTTAATATTGATATTTAAAAGTGATTAAGAATTATTTAAGAGTACATGATAACTTTTTGATTTCATGTTTTTCTTTATATGTCATATTCAAAATCTTTTGGATTCAATGTACATATTTGGTTGATAAATTAGACACTGGAAGATACTGGACATGAAATATTCTTTGATGTCACTGAAAATAATTTTGTTTAAGAAAACTTCACAGAAATAGTTAAAACTTTTTATATGAACTATTATTTATTCTCAGTTTCTCAGGAAGTCATTTTCTCCATCCATTTGCTTTAATTACATGATAAGATGGCAAAAAAAAAGAGAGAGATTTAATACGAAGACACCAAGGTTATAAGATGGAGTGTCCACTTATGTGGATGGGGGAGCATGGGGGTGGTAGAGGTTACTTTTCCCTTCTTAACATCCTCGACATATATAGTTTGATCAATCAATGTACCCACATCTATCTGTCTGTCTACACACATACATACACATATATGTACACACATGGGGTAGGGGATGGAAGAGAAGAAGGAAGGGAGAGAAGTCAGAAAGATGAAAGAGAGAGAGAGAGAGAGAACCTGAGAGAAAAGAAGTTGAGTAAGCAACAAGGACCAATAGTGTCCCTGGTGGTGGTTAACAGTCAACTATACTGGCCCAGGTCAAGTATCGAACTTTTGAACATTATGGTGAATATGGAATAGGATATATGCGGGTTTCTGTTATCTCTCTGGCAAATGTCTATCTCAACACATGATACAGTTTTATACCAATGGAACCTATAACTCTAAAAGGAAAAAAATAAAACCAACAAGTCTAGCATTCAGTACTACCCTATCATAAAGTAAGGAGGTCTAATTGAGCTATGTCTTTATATCCTGCTATTTGTACAAATAAAGGACTACATCTTGATGCAAAATAAACACAAAAGCACTGTTGTGACTATAACAGGGAGTCATATACTAATTTATATAATAAGTGGTTGTGCACGCTTTATTCAAGATTATGGCTGCAAGAAATGGCATGAATTGCTGGGTGTGTTTAATGCTGGATTATAGCAATTTGAAACATGTCAAACACATGGCTAATGCCTCATGCTTCACTCATTCTTGCGTAAACCTGCATAGCCACCATCCATTATACCCTTGGTAACAACACAATTCTGCAAGTAAATATTGTTACACTAAGTAACCTTTCAATTCAAGTTGTTTAGGAAGAGAAAATGCAATCTTGTGCAGTCAGTTCCAGTGTCAGTTTAATGTTTCAAAAGGGAAGTGGTGTAGAGAATAAGTATCTGTACAGTGACTTGCTTAAAAAAAAAAGAAGAAGAAGAAAGAAAAAGGAAAGAAAGGAAAACTTAATGCAAGGGTGAAAAGTAGAACTGTATCATTGGAGTGCAAGATCTGAAGAGTTATTTTCTGATGTGGCTGAAAAGTTGTGTATGATGAAAGATTTAAAGGTTTAACTAACAGTTCAGACAAACATTAAGACAGCGACTCCCAATTTCACCTTTTCCTTTAATGATCCGGAATTTATTTTCACTGATTTTTGTAAAATGTTTGTGGTAGGATTGAGAAGAATGAATAATTTAGTTTGATGTGTTTGGGATCACAAGCACATCCACTTGGAAAGAATATGCTGAATTTGTAATTATTTAAAATATACTTTAAAAGGTAAACAGCACCTCACATTGTGCCAGACATATTTTCTCTAGTAGAAAATAGGTGTGGAGATATCACTAGAAGAAACTCAGTAAATCCTGGACAGCATCTTCATTATCCTTGAAGATAGATCTCCTTTATAGTGGACATGCTCCAAGCTGTCTTCTTTAGGTGATATGTACATTAGAATACTCTGATCACACAATTGCCCTTCTTTTCGCCTATTAATGTTGGGTCAGATGCTTTTGTTCTGTAGAGAAAAAAGTGCTATCACTGTTACTGTTTTTCTTAAGCGTGATTTTACTACCTTTTAGATGATTGAACCAAAAATGTGAATCAGTTTATACTCCAGGGTTTTATAAAGTCAAAAATTCCACAAGGTATAATAAAATCCTCTGGATAATAGGAATTGGAAGTTATGTGGGTCTTTCCTTATAATTGTAATAAAAATTTAGACCCATGACTGCTTGTTGATTATTCTTAATTATTTGATGGCCTTGATTATAATACAATAATATATGCAGAATTCTTTAATTCATCCAGTTAGTTCCGACATTAACTACACAAAGGTTAATATTAAATACTGCCATTTGTCTGCTACATTTGAAAATACAGTTTTTTAAAATTTTTATTCTTTTTGTTGCAGACTCCACCCAGAGATAATAAGTATTTCAAATAAATTTGGATGATGAAGTAAAAATATATGCATACACATACACTCAAGATCTATTGTCAAAAGTAAAATTTAAATGCAATATGTAATAGAAGTTATATCTGTTTCTACAGTTGCAGAGGACCCAAATTATAATTTTCATATAAGTAGTAAAGGCAATCAGACCTTTTCTCTGAATATTTTAAACATTGTGCATGTAAAATTTATGCCTAATTTGAATACTTATTAGCTGCCTAATCTCAGAAAAGAGTATTAGCTTTGTTTTTTTTCCTATAAAATCCATCACTGTGTATCAGTTTCCATTTGTGTGATTTTTCTTTGTTAATGTTCAATAAGGTGTTTAACAAAACCTATTTATTCATAAGCACATTTGGTTCAAAAGTTGTTTACTGTATAGTTATAACAATTGCTTCCTTTGTGATTATGGGGTTTTGTTGTTGTTGCTTTTTTCTTCTTTTTTATCAGAACAGCTTTAAGTTGTATATGTAGTTCTTCTTACACTGACTTGCTTTGCTAGCCCAGCTACTGGTGGTCTTTTAGAAATCAGCAGGTCTTTCTTTTTTAATTGACTTTTTAGAGTCCTAGAAATAATCTAATAATTTAGGCTTTGATGAAAATACCTGTTAAAGCTATTAAATTATAACCATTAATTTTTAATAATTATAATATTAGTATGCAAAAACTCTATTGGATATGTATCTGTGTGTGTGTGTGTGTGTGTGTGTGTGTGTGTGTGTCCATAATCACATTTTGTAAGAATCTGGGGAAGAGGGTTTCTCTCTGACATGAAAAGACATTAAGCTTGCATTTGCTCTGTAATTAATACATTAAAATTGTTTAATGGACAAAAGTCTTAAAATATGACCAAGTTTAAAATAGTGAAATCTCCTGGTTACAAAAATTTAGATTGAGTGATAAGTTTAATGTCCTTCTTTACTTTAGGCTAAGTCCCCTGTCTGTCTAGCATTACTGTTAAAGTCACAGTGCACCCAGGTTGTTTCTGAAATCCTGTCCGTAGAAGTAAATCAGAGAAGTACAGCAATTAGGTTATAGGATAGGATTCACATATCTCTGAGAGCCAAAAGTGATCTTTCTAAACCACAGATTCAAGATGTACTGTGAAATTCTGGTTTGTAAGAGCACATTGGTTCTTTATTTACTGCAAGGATTTCCACTGATCTTGGCAGGACATCTCATTGCTATCCTGAAAGTACAGTATATTTATGCAGTGAAAATGATAAAACATTTATTACTGTAGAGAAGGTAATATGCATAATTTATGCTGTTTTTAGCACAATCATTAGTGATATTCTTGATAGATTTTATTTCTAGCTTTCATATCTAATACATGCCTGGAAAATTAATTTTATATATACTTTCATTTATTTGCCTATGTTAAAATTGAGTTTTAAGTCATCTTCAAGTGAACAGTTTGATTGCTGCTCATGCATAAGCTTAATTACTTCCCAGGAAGGACAGTATTAAATGTTTTAAATGTCAGAAAAATAAATGAATATGAGCCGTTTGATTAAAAAAATAGGCAATATCTGACATGTTTGCAGCAGGAGCTTTTTCTTAAAATGCCTCCAAGGCAAAATTTTATTTAGTCACAAAAAAAACCCATTATACTATTTATCATTGGTTGATACCATATGATTTGTAACACCCTTACAAAATTTTAATTTTGTATGATTAGCTGTGCATCATTAAACAACAGCCTTGCATAAGATGTGCTGTAAAAATCTGACAGAATCAAGATAGTGAATATTTAAAATAAGGCTGTATAGTCATCCATGGTTGTCAAAGGTAGATAATAGGAAACATAGAACAGAGTGTGCAATCGTGCCTTCATTTAAGCTGGTTTTATAGGTAGACTTTAAAATGTGGTCGTTCATAAATGCTATTGACCATGCTCTATGCATGGTATGTTACTTTGGCTGTTAAATGTAACCACACAAAAATTGCTTATAGAAACCATAATTTCAGTGATTAGTATCTGGATGAAAGCTGAATTTGTATTGCTTTTCTTGGTAAATGACTGTTCAAGGCGGGCTTTTTTTTTTTTCCTTCTAAAGATGCTGTCTCTGTAATTGGCAGAGAGGGACATCTTGATAATGGAAGTGTGAAGGTGTAACGTGTGTTAATTGATACTTCTTAATCACTTTTAGGTATTAAGTCATGATGCAGGAATCTGCGACAGAGACAATAAGCAACAGTTCAATGAATCAAAATGGAATGAGCACTCTGAGCAGCCAATTAGATGCTGGCAGCCGAGATGGAAGATCAAGTGGTGACACCAGCTCAGAAGTAAGCACAGTAGAGCTGCTGCATCTGCAACAACAGCAGGTAAGTTTTGTTTTCTTCGGTGATTCCTTAAAACAAATCAGCCTGTTTGCTTCAATGGGAAAAATGTATTCATAGCCAATTGAGCATGTTGTGTGAAGCTAAAGGATGCTGAGAATTTATTATTCTTTGGAACCTGATTGAAGGATCAGGAAAGGTAGGATTTTCATCTTCGTTACGTCATGCCGGCGCCCGAGTGCCCTTCAGGTGTCAAGCTATTAATTAAGTTCACAGGGTGATTTTCGGGAGGATCTGTAAAGCTTTGTAACAAGTATTTGATAGCTTCTAGTTTACTGTCGAACATTGTGCTGCAGAACGTGATACTTAGTTTTCCACCAGAGGGCCACATTACTTGATACTTGCTTATACAATGAATTTCTTCCAAGTGGAAGCTAAGGTGAAAGGACCACAAGGACTTTTCATAACACAGATGCTTGCCTGTGATGGCTGCAAATATTAGCTGTTAATTAGTTGAAATTTGCTGAGAGATTGTGAACCATCTAAACACCGTGATCGTCTGTGTTGCTTTTCTTGAAAACTCATTCCAAGATGTTTTGGAATATACATCTTTTGATCACATTAAAGAGCATTTTTTGGTTTTTTTTGCTAGTGGCTCATAAAATGCAGTTCTCATTTAAATCTAGAGAAGTCAACAACTGCCCAATAAAGGTACACTTTTAAGTAGCCCATTATTCTTTTTCTGTGATCGATTCATTTTTCCCAGTTTTGTTTGTCAATGAAATATTCTTTTCAGCCAAAGAATAGCCACTCCATTCTTCGCTGATTCAAGTCTGTAGAAATAGTGACAGAGAACAGAAAGCCTTCAAAGCATATACTTAAATTAGGTCAGAATGAATATACCTGTTTGACAACAAGAGTATATTTGATTTGATTTAAAATAAAGGTTATTTCTTAAAAATTCTGGATTGCATTCAGACCAAATGTTTAAAAAATCATTAAAATGAAAATATAATGATTCTTATTGAAAAATATTTCAAATTAAGTGATATATCATTCACAGTTTTCAGTTAATATATGATGAGACAGAATGCATCTCGAAAGTTAAAGCACATGCCCACACGACAGTAAAATTTAATAGAATCGTTATTTTAAATAACAGCAGTATTTAGAAAGTTATGTTAGAGTATATGTACTGGATAATGTCTTAACCTTTAGGCATTGTTTTCAAGAACAATCTTTTAAAAGAGCTAGGCATAACACTTTGAACAGGTTCCGTATTATTTTGAAATTATGTCTCTTTTCACAGACAGTAATCATTAGGAAGATAATTTTTATTTTGTTTAAGCATCATAAGAATTAAATGTCTGCCAAAGTCCAGGATTAGCCTATTTTACAAGTTACTTTAAATTAATTCAATTTTCAGGACAGCCCTGCTCTCCCTTTAATCTATTTACAAGAAACATCGTACCACTGGGGTGCCATCATATTCCTACAGACTCCCCTCAGTAAGAGTCCTAAGAATTAATAGCCAAATTCTATTTTGTGTGAGCAGACAGTAGATGGCAGCTATAAAAGCAAGTGAAATTAACAACTGAAAATGAACATTGCAATTTAGTACTAAAAGACAATATGTTCTGAAGGGAAATATAAAGAAGTAACTTTCTTTTTCTTCAAAGCTCTGATTAGATCTGAAAAAGAAAACAGAGTCAAATCATGGCTATGCTTTATAGTACTCTGGAGGCATTTTATGATAAATCTGTAAGGTGTGTTTATAACCTGAGTCTGAAGTTTACTTTGTTCTACACAGTTTGTTGATATAAACCATCAACAAGAGTAAATAGAAAAAGTTATGTCCTTCTGATAACCTAGAAACTCTAGTCATGTATTGCATGTTTGTGGAGTGCCTTCTGGAAGTGATTTAACACAATGGGTATAGTAGGTGTCTACAAAAGACACTTCAGGAAGTGTCTACAGGAAGATATGTAATAATTTGATAAACAAACATTCAAAAACCTTTGTAAATGTCTCTTCCCTTGGTTATGTTTTTACTATATTAATATAGGTAAAAAACTTAAGGTAATTGAATTTTTGTCTTTCCGTGAGTGTGTTTTAGAATGGGCTTTTAAGTTCCATTAGAGATTGGAATGTATTTTCTATAAAATTAATGCAGTTATTGCTTTTAATTCAAACATATTCAGTATGTTTCAGAAAAAATAAAAACTGGAGGGAAAATATTAAAACATTCATAGGTGACATAATTTTACAAATTTGTCTTTCCTTGGTGATATTTAAATGTAAAGTTTTGAACAAAGAAATTACTTCTTGGTAGTAAAATGGACTAATCATTGTTGTCTGAGGTCTCTTGTTTGGAAAT